CGTGTACGTGCAAACGCACGCACGCACGCACATACGTGTACGTGCAAACGCACGCATGCACGCATGTGTACGTGCACACGCACGCCCGCACGTACATACGCACGCATGCACGCACCTGTACGTGCATACGCACGCACGCATGCACGCATGTGTACGTGCACACGCACGCCCGCACGTACATACGCACGCATGCACGCACCTGTACGTGCGTACACACGCACCCACGCACGCATGCACGCACGAGTACGTGCACACGCACGCACGCACGCACATGTACGTGCACACGTGGACGTGCACAACCACGCACACACGCACGTACATGTATGACCACACGCACGCACGCACGCACTTGTACGTGCACACGCACGCACGCACACACGTGGACGTGCACACCCACGCACGCACGCATATATATTGTCAGCGCGAATATAGGTGGTGTACGACAGTAGGGGGCTCTTCTGCAGGTCATACATGTACCTACATACATACATGAATCTCAATAAACATATTACATAACTCCTCAGCACACACAAAATAATAAACACCCATTTCACATATGCACCACTAATATCACCGTGAATCTCAATAAACATATTACATAACTCCTCAGCACACACAAAAGAATAAACACCCACTTCCCCCACTCCATCCCGGGTGTGCATCTCGGTACGCAGATAATCTTCACCTCTGCATATGTGCTGCCCTCCAGCGGCAACTGTTTCTAGCGGCTAACCCCATTCCTAAAATAGCCCTAGAAAACCTGAATTTCTCCCTAAAATTAGCCCTAAAATGTTGTCAAGGACTGCTGGAAAGCTTCCATATATATATATATAATATGTATTCTATATCTGATACACAGACCTGTTGTCAGAAACAAAATTAGTCTTTCATTAGTCCTAACTAGCATTGAACTCTTGACTTTGACTCGTATACCGTTTGCAGAAACTTTGTGAAATTAAACTTGTCTTGCTGTGCAGAATAAATTCATGATCGTCATTTTTAATCAGATACGTATTTATATACATATACTAGCCTGGTACCCGGTGTTGCTCGAGGTAAAACGCTTAGACGAGAATTTTTTATTTTGTTGGTTTACAGATCCGCCGACCCGAATTTTCAAGAAAAACGAAAAAATATATAAATTGAAAATCTGTATTTTTTTATTCCCGCAGACCTTTTCTCTAAGAAATATGAATAAAAAAATGTAAACTTGCACAAACAGTTTATAATAAAAGTAAAAATAATTACAAGTTGAGTTTAGTTTTCATTTAGTTTTCTTAAAATACTTTAATATAATATAACAGTATCACTGTATTTTGACTTGTTGTTTTTTTGGTTTTTTTACCCTACCGAGTCAACAACAACAACAAAAATTCTGTAAACCAACAAAACAAGAAAAGGTTTCTTTAGGAACAACTTTTAAGAGCAAATTCAGCCACATATACTTACTTAATTCAAAAATATTTTTACCTCCCCCCCCCCACTTCACCCATATGATCCCCATCAGAAAGGAAAGAGAAGCGTACTGGATTCACAATCTAAACACTATCAAGCCACACGGTGCCTTGATTGTGCCAAGTTATTGTGAAATATGTCTCTGGCTTTGCAAGCCTCGTCTCACCATTTAAATACACAATTGGTGACATCTGTCACGTGTCTCTCTTATGCTGGGTAAGCCTGGGTTTACACTATCGATTTTTGTCAGCAAATCGTACCGATTTTAAGTGCAACACAATCATCGTCCAACACAATGGGCTGAAATTCGATTGTGTTGGTGTCGGAGTCGGAGACAAGTCGACGAGTTGGCGAAATAGAACGTGTTCTATTTTGCTCGATTCGGATTCGTGAAATCGGCGAGTTGGATAAATCTAATTGGCTTAAAAACTTTCACGTGATACCTAGTCAAAATGGCGAACTCGCAGTAGTTGTTTTCGTAACGAAATGACTTTGTAGACTTGATTTCATTACGAAATCAATAATCTTGTAACGAAATCAAGTCATGCGACACTTGGCGCCCCATACTTCTCCTCGTCGTCGGCTTCTTCTCCTGCTTCCTATTCTCCAGCCACACGTGTCTCTCAAACACAAACTTTGGCCCCCTCTCCGGCCGCACGTGTCTCTCGCAGACTCCACTCAACCAGTCTGTCTCAAATTGTCACTTCACTCGTCTAGATCAGACACAATCCTTACACGTCTACCTTAGACACAATCTCTACACGGCTATATCAGACCAATACTTCACACGTCTATATCAGACACAAACTGTACCCGTCTATATCAGACCCAACCTCCACACGTCTATTCCGGACAAAACTCCAGGCCGTCTGACCTCTCCCGCACATCTGACACTCGCCAGCTATCGCGCGTATGAATCACCTAGGGCATAATCTAGGTCATGCCGCGTGTCTAAACTCTGTCACTTGTGACAATCTGCATATATGCGCCTAACAAAGGTGTCACTACGCACGACTTAAATGTTACGTTTATAACCGTAGCAACAGACCTCAGATGAGTCCAGACGCTCTGCGGCTCTTGTTTATATGTACGGAGGGTTTGTTGTCAGAAAAGTATTTGGCTTGCGATATATTCAAAAATTTATAGTTCAATACTATGCATGGTATTAGTGTTCTAAGTTATTGCATGAATGATTTTAACTTGTTGATTAAACTTTAACTTAGTTCCCTGTTTGATTAAAACTAACCCGTTCCCAAAAATATTTAATCACATCAACATATTTTATTTTCAGGGAGTGAAATTGAAGTTCAGAATTCTGCCATTAGCTATACATTTAATATGCAAGGAAGTGCAACGGTGGCCAAGGCAACATGTATTCACGAGGTAAGGATTGTCCATGTAATATTAGCAGTAAAAACGTTTATTCAACACAAATCGTCAGTTGTTTGTTATACAAAATGTCTCAAAATGTAGTTTAGAAAAAAATATTTTTAGGATAATTTCTTGAAAATAAAGGTGGCTGATAAGTGATATGCATATATCATATCATACACAAAGTCAGAGCTACCACTGGCATTCGCCACCTTCGCAAAATGCTATAAATAAACAACAGTGGCGATTCTACTACACTAAATAGCAATACCAATTGGCGTATGATGGACCTACTAACAAAATTATGATTGAATAATGAAATTGTTAAATTGCAGTGTCATATAAGTGCTAACAAATTATCAAGAGTCCATAATAGAGACCTTTGTTATAGAGGTCTATATAGAGACCTCTATATAGAGTCCTCTATTATGGACTCTTGAAATTATGTTATGTAGCAGTGCTGCCAACATTTGCCTTTGTGTAATAGGAATTAGAATCTTTACAAGTTGGAACTTTTTTTTACCAATTAGGAATCTTGGGTAAGTAGCCACTTAAGCACAATACAGTAAAACCTCATTATACCACCAATCTCACTTATCACCAGGAAAATGCCAATATACAGATTGTTTGTATCTATTTGTACATACAGTAAGACCTCGTTATACCGCCCCTCGTAATACCGCCAATCTCACTTATCGCCATGAAAATGCCAATGTACAGATCATTTGTATTTATTCGTACGTAATTTAGCCTTGTTATGCCGCCCCTCGTTAACCGCCAACATGGCTATTTACAGTTATATATATAAAGTTGTTCAGCCGAATGTGTGTGTTCACGCATAACTAGAGAACTCTGCAGCCTAGAGGAAAACTAAAGATATTTTCAGAATCAGCACGTCTGGGAGGTGGTTCTGGCTAAAACGAAAATTTAAAAAAGTTAAAAAGTTAAACATTTATAAAAAATTCTATTGATCAATTGATGGCGGTCACGTACGTACACACAACATCACGTCTGAATCCATGGTGTATTAAAGTCCCGTCACAGTGGCGTCATCACTACAACATCTGTCTGGTATACGTGTGTTCCAGTTCGAGTCCCAGATGGGGAACTTATTTTTCCCTTTTTTCCTTTTTGCCCTTTACCTACCTCTTTAGTATGTATTATTTTAAATTTTTAATAAATTTTTAATTTATTAATTTATTAAATTTATTATTTTTTATCTTTTGATTTCTTATTATTTGTTACTGTTTGGGATGGGATGGGATTGCATGGCATGGGATGGCATGGGATGGGATGGGATATGGGATGGGGTGCGATGGGATGGCATGGCATGGCATGGAATGGCACTGAATGTGATGAGATGGGATGGGATGCGGTGCGATGGGATGGGATGGATGGATGGATGGATGCATGGATGGATGTATGGATAGATAGATAGTTAGATTTTTTGTGGTATTTTCTTTTCAACCAAGCGGTCACCAGCTAAGTAACGCCACTGATTTCCCCGGGCAACGCCGGGTATCCCTCTAGTCCTATATAAATGCATTGAAAATACACTCATTATACTGCCATCGAGAGTGTTGGTCTGTTTCGGTTGTCTAGTTTCTATGGTAACATACACACAGCACATCCACGCGAGTCGTATGTAATAGCAGTAGTATTTAGCGGTATAGTGCTATCGGTAGAGATTCTGCCACCTTCATCACTTGATGCTCGGATGTCAGTTCAGACTGTATTGTGATATTTTGAGTCGAACGGATATTCAACTGAACGTGAAATTTCTGCCGTGTCTCTCCTACGATCTCGCATGGATTCACTCATTTCAGAATTTCCTAAACAGACGTCAATTATAGACTTTTTAAGAAAGATTGAACCCCGGACTATCAAAATACTGTATGCAAACTTAAATGTACATGGACATGTGCTGACCGATGTACACCGGACTAACAAAAACACGGAAACAAACATGAAACTATAATATTTTTATTTTAATAGTAATTCCGTTATAATGAAATAAGTGTCGAGTGCGGTTCTTGGTATCACAGCTCCAAACGTATTAAATGAGCATTAGGCGTCAAACCCAATTCATTCGTGTTGCATTTCCGCTCGAAGGAAATGCGATCACTCAAAAATTTCATAAGTCCAAAAGTGAGCTTCCACGCACAAGAATTTATTGCTGCTCATGCACAACACACACATGAGCTAGAGTTCAAAAATCCAGTAGTCTAACACATGAATCGTAAATGTGCGCGCGCTTGGAAACTCAAGAGCTCCCAAGGTGTGGCCATATATATATATATAATATATATGACCAGCGAGGTGACGTCACATCAGGTGTCCCCAAGGCCACGAAGGCGTCCCCTCACCACTCGCCTGTGGCGCACTGCACCATGTCGCGTACGTACGTGTCTACATCCGGGTTTGCATCTACGCAGTATCCTGCTTCGCCACACAGGCACGATCTTGGCTAGTGTACGCGTACTCAACATGCCATAAGAAAATGCACAATGTGGGAAGAGCTATTAATTTCACCACACACAATTTGATTAAACGGTAAAACTCCCCATGCACTGTTACAATAAAACAAAGAAATTTTGTTAATATGATTTTTATTTGTCATTAAAACTTTGTATATAATCATATATCATATATTTTTATTGGTTTTCTCGCAACTGGGACTATTCAGTAGTGATATTAGACTGCAATTTCTACCTCGTTATAACGCCAAATTTATTATAACACTAATATTTTGCAAGTCCCGATAATGAGGTTTTACTGTACAACGAATTTAATTGCAGTTCTATATTGATTTTAAAATAACAATTCCTATACATACTCATTCTAGTGTAACAACAAAGAAAAAAAAGATACAGGCATATATATCAGGCTTTCCAGCGGCCTTAAAATTCCTAAAAATTCCTAAAATGTTGAGCTCTCCCTAAAATTCCTAAAAAAACTTTACAAATGTATGCAATTCCTAAAAAAGGGCTAAAATTTTATTCAAATTCCTAAAAAAAAAATCCACAGATATGTTTGGAGTTTTTGGTGATGAGATGATGAACTTTTGGTTTGTAATTATTGTTATGGATGTTGATATATGCACCAAGAGGTGGCGCCACGAGTATGCGTGG